GGCCAGCGCGCCGCCCCGGGCCCCGGAAGCCCGGTATAAAAAAAGTCCTGGCGCGACTTCCCCGCTCAATCTCCGAAGCTTGAGGCGCGGGCAGAGCGGGTCGCGGAGGCACCGGAGCCGCCACCGCCGGGACCACTGCAGCTGGGCGGCAGGGCGCGGGCGGGGCGCGGGGCGCAGCGCGGAGAGCCGTGCAGGACGAAGTCGCCGCGCCGCTGCCGGGAGCGCACTCGCGGCTCCTGCAAGTGGGGTCGCCTCTCGCGCGCTCGCTCGCTCGCTCTTAGAAGGGGCGGCCGCCTCCAGGTGACACAGACGGGCCTCTCGCTTGCGCTTTCCGGATGCATCCGCGATACTTTTGGTGCGGGGCTGTCCTGCGGGGCGCGGCGCGGGGCCAGGGCCGAGGGGCGGGGAGGGAGCCTCTACGCAGAGCCGCGGGGCCGGGCCGCGGCCGTCGGGGAGGCAGCGCGCTGTCCCCCTGCACCCGTCGTCGCCGCGTCGCGTCCTCACGCGCGCCGTCCCTGTCCCTTTCTTGCAGGACTGACCAGGGTCAAGCGGCGCTCGCCGGACACTACATGGCAGAGGGCGAAGGCTACTTCGCCATGGCCGAGGACGAGCTGGCCGGAGGCGCCTACATCCCTCTAGGCAGCGACTTCGGCGGCGGCGATTTTGATGGCAGCGGCGGCGACAGCTTAGGCGAACACTGCTTGGACTACTGCGACAGCCCCACGGCGCACTGCAACGTGCTGACCTGGGAGCAAGTGCAGCGGCTGGACGGCATCCTGAGCGAGACCATCCCGATCCACGGGCGCGGCAACTTCCCCACGCTGGAGCTGCAGCCCAGCCTCATCGTCAAGGTGGTGCGGCGGCGCCTGGCCGAGAAGCGCATCGGCGTCCGCGACGTGCGCCTCAACGGCTCGGCCGCCAGCCACGTCCTGCACCAGGACAGCGGCCTGGGCTACAAGGACCTGGACCTCATCTTCTGCGCCGACCTGCGCGGGGAAGAGGAGTTTCAGACTGTGAAGGACGTTGTGCTCGACTGCCTGTTGGACTTCTTACCCGAAGGAGTGAACAAGGAGAAGATCACACCGCTCACGCTCAAGGTAAAGCTGCCTGGGGCTCGGGGTTCAGAGGGAGACGGCGGCGGGCGAAGGGCCAGCGCCCCACGCTGCGGATCTGCTGCCTTCCTGCGCTCCAGAGCGCTGTTGCTTTTTGTTTTTCTCAATGAGTGACGCGAGGTGCGTGGAGGTTATGGAGTGTTTTAGTGTAGTGGGAGCTTGAGCGCCACAGTTCTCCAGCTTCCTCTTCTGTCCTCCCTTCTCTTCCTTCCCCTGTGGTTTAACTCTTGGCGTTCCTCGCTGGAATCTTGTCCCGCCGGAGTGGCTTCTGATAGGTGGAAGGATGAAGTGATGTAAATAGTTTTGGGGGGTCACTTTATGATCTAGTCTTTGGGAAAATAGCGGCCCGAAGCAGAACTGAGTCAGTGGGATTTTTATTGTACTGGAAAATATGAGCGGATCTCCTAGATGCTTTCAGCTGACTCCCTGTGGTAAAATATATATTTGGTAGCTCACCGTGTTCACATGTTAAGGGTATCGCCATAGTGCCCCTCCCCCACACCACACAAGCTTTAGTCACCGTTTATATGTAATTAGGAAAATTAATGGCCATTTAGTATTTGATTAAAACTGTGGAGCTGTAGAATATCGCCTGAGGGACACTTCAGATATTGATTGATCACCCTGATTGCTTTAGGGAGAGGTGGCTGGGGACAAAACAAGGCTGAGAGGAAGAAAAACTCAATACTGGACGCCCCCGGGTGTTTTTTGAATATTGTGTGGGTATTATCATATTAGACCATTTAAAAAAAAAAAGAAAGAAAGAAAGAAAGAAAGAAAAGAAAAGAAAAGAAAAGCACATTTTGAAAGTCAGACATGACAACAGAGTCTCTTGGTACTCTGGTACGTCTGCCCAAAGCCTCAAACTATTACTTCCAGTTTCTTTCTCAGACAGTAAAACTGCTCGTTAAATCTATTTTTTTTTTTTTTTTTTTTTTGTTCTGCTTTCAGAGACTGTTTAAGCCTGTAGGTAGTGTTTTGCTGAAACTTGACAAAACAAAAGGGAAATAGCAAAATAATTCGCAGCTGTAAAGAGGATGTATTTATTTACTGTGTTTTTCTAGGTTTGCTCATTTTGTTTTATCTTTTAAATTGTAGGAAGCTTATGTGCAGAAAATGGTTAAAGTGTGCAATGACTCTGACCGATGGAGTCTGATATCCCTGTCAAACAACAGTGGCAAAAATGTGGAATTGAAATTTGTGGATTCCCTTCGGAGGCAGTTTGAATTCAGTGTAGATTCCTTTCAAATCAAATTAGACTCTCTTCTCCTCTTTTATGAATGTTCAGAGAATCCGATGAGTGAAACATTTCACCCCACTATAATCGGTGAGAGCGTCTATGGCGATTTCCATGAAGCCTTTGATCACCTTTGTAACAAGATCATCGCCACCAGGAACCCAGAGGAAATCAGAGGGGGAGGCCTGCTGAAGTACTGCAACCTCTTAGTGAGGGGCTTCAGGCCAGCCTCTGATGAAATCAAGACTCTCCAGAGGTATATGTGTTCCAGGTTTTTCATCGATTTCTCAGACATTGGGGAGCAGCAGAGAAAACTGGAGTCCTATTTGCAGAACCACTTCGTAGGCTTGGAAGACCGCAAGTATGACTATCTCATGACCCTACATGGAGTGGTGAATGAGAGTACAGTGTGCCTGATGGGACATGAGAGAAGACAGACTTTAAACCTTATCACCATGCTGGCCATCCGGGTGCTAGCTGATCAGAATGTCATCCCTAATGTGGCGAACGTCACGTGTTACTACCAGCCGGCTCCCTATGTAGCGGATGCTAACTTTAGCAATTACTACATTGCACAAGTTCAGCCAGTGTTTACGTGTCAGCAGCAGACGTATTCCACTTGGCTACCCTGCAATTAACAATCATTTAAAAATGTCCTGGGGGGAAGCCAGTTCAGATAAAATAGGAAAAAAAGAAAAAAAAAAAAAAAAAAAAAAAGGAGTAGCCCAGCCCTCATTGGGGGTGTCTTTGTACAGCGATGGTATGCTCCTGGTTTTAAGCTTGGCAAAGTTTATGGGTCTTTCCTTTGGCACGGGAGCATGACCTATAAACTGTGACCCTCTTTAACTGTCCCCTTTTCTCCTACTCAATTGGATTCTACCTGGAAACAAAAAAGAGGCCTGTCATTGAAGGCAACCAGGCTGTCTTAAAACAGGGGAAAAATCCTTGATGACAATATGGGTTTGCAGTAACTGCTCCCATAGCTTTGCCATGGTGGGGAAAAGTGGAAAGCCTTTTAGAGTAGATTCATAAAAAGGGAAAATACAGATGAAAGTGTCTCACCCCACCTTGTTTAGTAGTGCAGGAGTTCAGATAGTAACAATACGGGAAGAAGGGGAACTCCAACACTGGATTATTACCTGAAGCCCATAGCGAGTGCTGTGTGTGGAACGATCCTGTTGGACAACAGAAACAGCTTGCTCTGAATGGACAGTAGTGGGTTGGTGCGGTTCTCGTAACAAACAGCAGAACTTGTGATGACACAATCCATTAATTCCAGCTGTGTACATAGCTCGCATTTTTTAAAATGTAAAATGCAAGCAAAAACAGCTGTAGTGAAGAAAATATGCTCAAGGACCAAAGATTTAACGGATTAAATACCCGAGTAAAGAGACAGAGAATATAGTTATTATATTTGTTACACTCCAGTATACATCAAAGTGCCTGTTGCTTCCTGAAAATTTGAAGTGGAAAATTATTTTATGGTTTAATAATTTTATTTTATCAGGGACTCAGAAGAAAATAAAACCATATATAAGCTTGTGAATGGTGGAGGAAGTGCCCTATTTTTTCTTGACAAATAACTTGTATGAAGTTGATGTTGGTGTGATGTTATCATAGGTACACATGTATATTGTGTGTGTATACATACGTGCAGTATGTGTTTAGCTACACACTACGTCGACTACGGTCTAGAACAGTGTATCAAATAGGAAATGTTTAAATACTGTGTGCTTTTATGTTTAGGATGACATGAAATGTGGGCATATTGCAATGATGAATTAAAACCCACAGCTAAACAAATCAAAGCAGACAAGGGGGAAATAAGTAATATATTTGATAAGAACAGAGATTATACATTTATGATGAGGTTTTTAGGTATTTTGTTTGTTTTGTTTTTGTGAGCCAGAAAATCCCACAAATGGCAGAATGTTTGGCAGAACACTTTTTAGAAAAATATTTGAACTGCCATTTGGAAAATTGGAGCCCATCTTTTTTCTGTTTTAAGCAATTGCATACCTCCATGGTATGTAATCTTGTGGATCATGAGTCAGTGGTAGGCTACCTAAATCCCTAACTGCTAAAAATAATTTCTGGTGATCTGAACACTACTTATAAATATTTAAATGAATTTTTAAATGAATGCATTCCGCATTTTAGGACCACTAGAATTTAGTAAATGTGAAGTGACCCTTTTTAAAGAGTATTTGCACAATTGCATAAAGTTTATATATGAGATATATATTATATATAACATTTTATAGATTTATGCCAGTGTGAAACATCTTTGATCTGGTTGTCTAACTGCATTTAAATATTTAGTACTGTACTTTAAATTTAATCACTTTGCTTTAAATCAAACCCAACTTTATTTTCTCTTTTCTAAGAGACCAGGTATACCCTTGTGAAATGAACTAGTGTTATTCTTTTAGTTTGATGACATGTAATCCTAAAATCACCCCTTTTTCCACCCCTCTGGATGTTGGTCTCTGAAAATGCATTTGTTACAATTTACACATAAAACCCACAGAATCCCCACCAACCCCATTAGAAGACTGCCTACTATGATAATTCCCGTGAAGACCCAACCAGAAAAATTTTTATCATGAAGGAAGGAGCAGGGAAGAAAATAACATTCTCCTATTGGCAGTGTAATTTGTTTGTCTACGATCTGAGCATCTTTCAGGTGCTAAGTACTGCAGTAATCCAGGTTAATCTGTCTGGATAGCTTTTGTGCATCTTTCTTTGAGGCCTTAAGGGGAACCTGTTTGCTGTAGCAGCTTCCTGGCGGATGTTGTCAGGGCTGCCACTCACTGTTTTCTAGGGAGCTCTTCTCCCACGTTGGCACAATCTCCCTCCCCCCAGCCCTGGGTTTGACAAATCAATTGCAAAGTCATAGAAAACATTATTCGGCATACAGATAAGCCTGGCACTCACCTGTCCGGGCGCAGCACTGCCTGCTTGGCAATTGGAAAGTTTTCTAGAAGAAAACAAGGCATGCTGAGGTATAGCAGAGCAGCTGCAAATCTGCTTTCCTTACATCCCAACTCAACAAATGAGTTGTCTACTATTTTTTTTTAAGAGTTTGGAGGTGTGGCTCTTCCAACAGCAGCAACCTGCTGTTCCTTTATGACAGGTTTTTGTTGGAAGGAGTCTTTTTTTTTGAAAATACACTTTTCATTTATTTTCTCAAATACTTATATTCTTTTCTTGCTTGTTTCAGGGTTGCTAGCTTAGTTGATACCTGGCATTCAGTTAGGACAGCCTATACATGACAATTTTCAGCATTTACTTTGATACTCATATAATTTATTTCTATTTTGTGTGTACTATAGTCTTGTGCATATATAGTTAAATATGCAGTGTGATACGTGTCTCTGTGGATGTGTGGCCTCAATATTTGAATGTGTGGTGAGAGCTTCGTGTGTAGGCCAGAGAGAACAGCTCTCAACTCCCGATTAGTGCCTGTGATTGGTTTGCTTTTGTGTTTATCTGGCCTCGTGTGCTGTTACTTCAAAGTAGGAAGAAGTCTTCTGCTCCTGGAAGCTCCTCTCCCCTGATCAGTCTGGCATGCCAGAGGATACTTACTTTGTAACATGCCTTCTTAAAAAAGTTTACTTCATCTTTGGCAAATCCAGCTGCTTCACCAACTCCTACATGTGATGGACTTTGCCCTTCCTGAAGTGGATCGAGGATACGCTCACTCTGGTACCCGGTGGCCTGTTTCAGTGTGGGTCCAAAAAAGGCAAGAATGGAGGAGCCTCTGTATACCAAGCCAAGAAGGAAATGAAATAAGTAAACGTACTGTTTTTACCATCCCTTTCTGTTTGCTTATTGTTGGTTGCTTTACTGTGCATAAGGTTGTTAAATATTGTGAACTATTTTGTAAATGAAATGTATTATGTTGAAAGCTTTCAGAAGCCGTCAAATATAAGCTTTTTTGTTGAAGATGAAGTATATTAGATGAAACCAAAAAGTAAAAAAAAAAGTGACTTCATATATAGCACTTATTTGAATATAATCTTTCTTTAAGATTTCTTTTAGCATAGCCTTTTCAGTGCTGAGAAAGAATCGCTATATAATATTTTATTATAGTACTGGCTTGCTAACAAAGTAAAGGGTCGAGGCACAAAGTGGGAAGATGTCGAGGAAACTGGAAAGACTCGCTGCAAAGCTTTGCAGAATAAAGGAGGCTCTGCCTGTTGCCTGTCTCTCCTCTCACCTCTACAACCATTGCCTACTCTGAGGCATCCTGCTGCAGCAAGCTGCACCTTGGGTCACTCTTCCGGAATATTATGACTATAGTGTGTCACAGGCAGAAAAGGAGTTGATTGAAAGTGGACTTTTGAAAACTGACAGATTTAAATCAGTGCTAGAGGGAACAGATTGTGAATTTTGTTTACAGCATCCAATATTTGGATTTTTTTTTGTAAATAAAAAGAAGTTATTTTTTTCTATGGATTTGTGTCTGCTGTTTCTGGTGCTTTGCCCTGGCTAAAGAGGGTGTCTTCCGGGTCCTAAATAATGTCCATTAGGAAGCACGAGGCAGTCTATGCAAAAGAACAGCCTTCAGGAACAATCTGGTCAGAGTACGGAGATGAACAGGTCAGCCTTTCAGCTAGCGCTTCTCTGACTGACTCAGCGAGCTCCAAGGGATCTAGGTGATAGGTGCTAAACATTTGTGCATGAATTTAGCAGTGCTCAGTAACACAGAAGATAGCTGCTTTTCAGCAGCAGCAGCAGCAGAGACCTAAGGCTCTGTACTTCAGGGCTCTAGGAGGTCTGATGGGGGCTTACATTTCATGAGTAACACAAACACTGTGATTCCCTTATCACTGATGACAAGTACAATATTTATTTGAAGTGCTCTCAGGTTATTCATAGTGTTTAATTCAGGTAAAATAAGTATTACTAGCCAGGAATTGGAAAGGGAAGTAGACAGAGGGAAGAATAACCCAAGGGTCTTGTGCACTGCAGTGTGTGCGCACGCGTGTGCAGATGCTTCATGCTAAGGTGGCAAGCTTGTGGCTGGCCTTTTGTGTCGTCTCACCTGTTCAAATTGCTAGACGGTGCACAGCGTCTGCGGATTACACTTGTGTATTTCTGAAGACTTTCTCAGCAGTCGTATGAGGATGGGGGAATCTTATGCTGCTATAAAAGGTGCTTCTGGTTTTGAAACCGTTTAAAGTGTTGTTGCACAGAATGCATGTTTGACATAGCTTCTGTGAAAGAGCTACTCTTGGTATTAAATGCCACTGTCCTTAACACATCAAAACACAAGGTAGTTATTTGGCTTGATAATGGTATCTGTGTCATTCTCTTGCTTTGTTGCAAGCTTCATTCTAAAACTGATCGCTGATCATAATATAATAGTTCCTTTTAATCAAAGATTGAATAAGGATGATGAATATAGGACCAGCGAGATAGCTCAGTAAAATCTGGCAAGCACAAGGTCCTGAGTTCAATTCCTGGTAATACACAAAAAAAATGATGAATATTAAATTCTCCTAGATTAGATATCTGCTTCCATTTCTAGTGAGTTACCAGGCTGCACCTAAGTATAGAGAGAAGCTATCCCCCCTTCTTTCCTTAGGAACCTCAATCCCTAAGCATTAGGTTCTTTGAATAAGACAAAAGACAGATATTAGCACCCAAAAAATGGGAATTAAAATCAGAGCTTCTAAGTAAATTCAATATATTTATAAATTGTCACTACATTGTTGAATTTTGTAATTAAAGCTAAAATGTTTGTTACTTACCTGCAATTTCCTCTTCACTACCAAGTTTGAAGTCAATGATGTGAATGTCCTTCAGTCAACTAGCAGAAATACTCAGGCAGGGAAGGGGCAAGGGAAGCGGTCAGACTTACAATGGCCTTCACTTAGCAAGACCTAGCTCTTCCTGTCTAATACTATACTCTAATAAAACGAACCTGGGTTCTTTGGGTGAAGCAGCCAAATGTAAATCTAGGGCCAGAGAAGGAAACCTACAACACAAACCTGAAATGTCTTGTAAGTTTGGAAAGCAAGGATACATCCAAAAAAGACAAAAGCAAGAAAGATAAAGCTGCAAGAATGAGGAGGAGTAAAGTCAAAGGGACACGAGAAAACTGAGAGCATCAAAGTAGAAACAACTTGGGCTTCAAAATAAATAACTGGTATTAGATTATAATCCAAAGTATGAAATATTCGTGCATCAACAAATGATATCAACAGTTATATCAGCAAATGACTGAGTACATAAGCGAGGCAAAGAGGTACATTTCCTGCATGGAATTCCAAATAATCTGTGTACATACTGCCCCCTGTAGGAGTAGAGGTTAACTACTGTCATCTTAACTGTGAGCTACACATAGTTCCTTGTAAGGAGCACAGTAGGAGTAAGGAGCACAGTCCCTCCTTGTAAGGAGCACAGTAGCTGTGTAGGAAGAGGGAGAAAAGAGTAGTACACCGGGCAGGAAACTAACCGGCACTCGTAAGCTATGTGATTAGGGTCACCATGATGAGCGCTAAATCATGGTGGCAACATGTACCTTTGTGTGGTGTGACAAGGATGGCACTTGACACCAACTTAAACTGAGGGGACTCCTATAACATACCAAGCGGTATTCCTTAAATCATCAAAACAAGGAAGTCTTAGAACTTCTATAGCAAAGAGAAACCAAAGAAACAAACAACAAAATGTAATATATTCACGATGAAGATTTAGGAACAGAAAACTACATTGACTGAAACTTAAAATACTGTGAATGAAGTATTATTGAGAAGGTAACTTTTCAGTAGTTGTTTATGGTAGTAGAATGTACCATATTAAAAGGTAGACTGTCGGGCTGGGGTGATGGCTCAGTGGAATAAGTGCTTCCCTGGCAAGCGCATGGGCCTGAGTTCAATCCCTGGTTCTGCAAAAAAAAAAAAAAAAGGTAGACTGTCAGTACCAGGAGAAACTATATGTGAGTGGTATGGAAATTCTTGGTATATTTTCATAGTTTTCCTGCAAGTCTAAAATTATTCTCTCAAAACTTATTGAAAATGAAGACTTAGTGACCCTTCTAAGCAACTTCTAGGAGATGGCTATCTTTGTAAAAAGAATAGTGAATTTTATTTATTTATAACCTTAGACTAGAAAGTACTAGGGGGGTTTATGGAATAGTAAAAGTCAAATGATTTTTTTTTACTAAACACTTTTAGAGAAGCTTTATCTACACATCTTAAGGAAATGGAATGGGGTTGAAGAAAGCTGATTTTATAGGCAATGCCTTTCTTTAAAATAGGGATGGGATTTGACAGTCAAAAATTTTTGAGGAATGACATGTTTTACACTGAAAGACTCTAATATGTAATGTAGTATTTTAGGAAATTATTATTTAGTATAAGTAACCACTTCCATAATTTATCTGCTTAGCTCAGCCTCTCTTTTAGCATAACATGTTTTCTTAGAGGACATATATATTTAAATTGACTTTTCCAAGTCAATTGCTACCATCTGATTGATTACTTTCCCTTAAAGAGAAAAAATAATAAAAACAATAATACAGGACCAGCCAAATAGCTCAGCAGAGTAAGGAGCCTGCAAGCAGGCGCAGGGGCCGGGGGTTTGATCCCCAGGCCTGCCATACAAGCCCCACCCCTGGGGCGTGCTGAGACAGCAATTGAGACTGGATGTGGTAGTGTGTACGTGCTTGTAATCCCAGCTATTGGGAGGCTGTAAACAGATGGATCACTATG